TCTGAGCACTATGGAGACCTGCCAATCCTCTCCTCTTCCCAGCCAACCATGAATTTTGGCCATCAGTCTAAATTCTTCATGCAAATTCCTGGCGTTGGAACATAAATGCTGAATTTTCCAAGACGGTTATACACATTTAAAAATTAATCTCAGTTTTCTAAAATTTACCACTCTGCCCCCCAACAACTCAACCTGATGTAATTTATCTCATTTTTTAAATCAGGCTGATCATGAGTAAATGTAAGCATAATTCTTACTGCAGTTACTGTTGACAGTGATCCATTTTGTGTTTTCATTTTCTGCAGGAGTGTAACTTCCACTAAAAACACAGTAATGTGCCATTAAAGCACAGACATTGGACATTGCTCTACAAAAGAACCTGAATGAGTCACTGAAGAAAGAAAATGTAAAACCCATGTGAAAATATGCAGTGCACATATTGCAATAAGAAGATTTTTTTGGGTTTTGCCATGCCAAGTGTTCATTATGCATTCTGCAGAAGTAATAAAAAGGACAGTAAAACCCAAAAATGCTCCTTGAAGCCAGCCTGGTAACTACCAGGCTCAAACAGGCAGGATTCAGTTTTTCTGAGTTCCAAGAGGAAACAGATTTAGACAATGTGTATTTCACATGGAAATCCATCACTGAGTTGATATTTATATAAGGAGGGAGATATAAAAAGCAAAAGAGAAAGCTTCATCAGGGAAAAATAATGGAAGAAAATATTTTGCAAGTAGTTCCTCAGGCAAGGCCGTGCTATTTGAACCAATAAATTAAAAACAGGCAGCTTTTTTTGTTGAATGTTGATACAAAATCATGTCAGCAACAGTAATGACAGATTGCAGGAATCTATGGCTCCTATTCATGATGAGCTCCATGGAAAAATTAACAACTGTTACACACAAACAGCGTAAGAATGTTTGCAAAACAAGCTCTCCATAAAAAGGGTGATATTTTTCTGGATAATCACTCACAAATGGAATATTCATCACCTTCCAGGGGCTGGCAGGACTTGCCTGTGCTCCCTTTGCAGTGACACTGGTGACATGGCTGATCCAGGCCAGGGGAGCAGCAATTGGTTTTTGTTTTCTACAATTTGTTTCCCCTCCCTGTTGTTCACATAAGCACTTGTGAGGAAGAAAACTCAGGAAGCCATGGAAAGCAGCATATGATCTAATACAAGACTTCCAAATATAAAATCTGTGAATTTAAACCTTGCTTATGACAAATAGTAAAATACCTCTGATCACTTCAATGTACTATTCCTACACATTTTACCAATAAAGACTCAGGACACCCAGAAAGTTTATCTGTGTCACATATGTGTTTACACAATATTGATTAATTTCTGCTTCCAAGTCACTTTTCAGTTCACTTATTCAGTAAAATAAATAATTGCTGTCATTTTTATGAGAACATCTTAATTTATGTGACATATCTGAAATGTAATTCTCTGCTGAATGACAGAAAATTACTTGGTTCAGTAATAAAAAAAGAAAATTTCTCCTTAACTGACCTCACACACGAGTCAGACAATCTAGGAGCTGAAGACTTCCCCAAGTGTAGCTTCATTCCAAACTGCACTGAACAAGCTCTGTTTTAGCACTGACACTTCTGCACCTATGGCAGCACATTTGGTTTGCTGGGGTGTTGGACAATACTCTTTTCCTGACCCAGAGATGGGGCAATTAAGAGGTGTTTTAAAAANGGTGATGTGCCACAGTGTGAGTGACCCAAACTGAGCCCTCAGCACTGGAGAGGGACAAGGACAGAGAGGTGTCACAGTGTGAGTGATCCAAATGAGCCCCCTCAGCACTGGGACAGGGACAGAAATGTGTCACTGCTGAGTGACCCAGCACTGGGACAGGGACAAGGGGAGAGAGGTGTCACAGTGAGTGACCCAAACTGAGCCCCCAGCACTGGGAAAGGGACAAGGACAGAGAAGTGTCACTGCTGAGTGACCCAAACTGAGCCCCCAGCACTGGGACAGGGACAAGGAGGGGTGATTTGTCACAGTGTGAGTGACCCAAATGAGCCCCCTCAGCACTGGGACAGGGACAGAAATGTGTCACAGTGTGACTGACCCAGCACTGGGACAGGGACAAGGAGGGTGATGTGTCACTGCTGAGTGACCCAAACTGAGCCCCCTCAGCACTGGGACAGGGACAAGGGGAGAGAGGTGTCACTGCTGAGTGACCCAAACTGAGCCCCCAGCACTGGGACAAGGACAGTGATGTGTCACTGCTGAGTGACCCAGCACTGGGACAGGGACAAGGACAGAGAGGTGTCACAGTGTGAGTGACCCAAACTGAGCCCCCTCAGCACTGGGACAGGGACAAGGACAGTGATTTGTCACTGCTGAGTGACCCAAATTGAGTCCCCTTCACTGGGACAAGGACACAGATGTGTCACAGTGTGAGTGACCCAGCACTGGGACAGGGACAAGGACAGAGAGGTGTCACAGTGAGTGACCCAAACTGAGCCCCCTCAGCATTGGGACAGGGACAAGGAGAGAGAGGTGTCACAGTGAGTGACCCAAATTGAGTCCCCAGCACTGGGACAAGGACACAGATGTGTCACAGTGTGAGTGACCCAGCACTGGGACAGGGACAAGGACAGAGATGTGTCACTGCTGAGTGACCCAACTGAGCCCCCAGCACTGGGACAGGGACAGAGATGTGTCACAGTGTGACTGACCCAGCACTGGGACTGGGACAAGGAGGGTGATGTGTCACAGTGAGTGACCCAAATGAGCCCCCTCAGCACTGGGACAGGGACAGAAATGTGTCACTGCTGAGTGACCCAGCACAGGGACAGGGACAGGGACAGTGATGTGTCACTGCTGAGTGACCCAACTGAGCTCCCTCAGCACTGGGACAGGGACAGAGATGTGTCACAGTGTGAGTGACCCAGCACTGGGACAGGGACAAGGAGGGGTGATGTGTCACAGTGTGAGTGACCCAAATGAGCCCCCTCAGCACTGGGACAGGGACAAGGACAGTGATGTGTCACTGCTGAGTGACCAAACTGAGCCCCCAGCACTGGGACAGGGACAAGGAGGGGTGATGTGTCACAGTGTGAGTGACCCAAATGAGCCCCCTCAGCACTGGGACAGGACAAGGACAGAGATGTGTCACTGCTGAGTGACCTGGGGCAGCTCAGACAATGCCAGTGCCAGCTCTCACTGCTAAGCATGATGACCAGGTACAGACTTGCAGAACTGATNGTTTTACATACTCTTGGAAGATTGAGGAGGAGGAGGGAAAAAAGCCAAAATAAAAGAGTAAATCCAGGAATATTTTATTGCAAGGAAAAGAAGAAAGAACAGAAAATTAATGCCACCCTCCCAAGTGAAATGTTTTACTTTTAATAGTCTGTCTAGAACACAATCCCAGAACACAAAATGGACTCAGACAGAAGGATCAGCAGCAGCTTATCTGGTCTTCTGCATAATGTAGGACCTACAATTCCATGTAAATATTTCTGTGATTAACTTGGTAACTTATCATTCAACTGACCCATCGTTTGTTGAAGGATAGCAAATCTTGCTTCAGAAATCATCTTGTCACAGTGGCAGCTTCCACATTTCCTGCTAGCCAACCATTGCTGAAAACACACATCCTACATGCAGATTAATTTCTTTAACTTTGATCTTCAGTCATGGAAGTTTACCATGTCTTTTTCTTTGCCAGGATAAAGAGTCTCTTACATTAGATCTTATCTCCCAGCAGAGTGTAGGGATACAATAAAATATACTTCATCCTCAAATATAAAGCTGCTCCATAACTTTTTCTCTCATAAGGCTGAATTTTTGATTCAAATATGTTTTATAGAACACACATTTGTCAAAATGTGCTTGCCTGATGTCTACATCCAAATTAATTTTACTGTACTGGTAGCTTTATGGGAAGCAACATCTGTTCTAATAAACACCACTAATTGAAGAATGCATTTGATGGTTTTTCTGACAGACAAACGATGACAATAACAAAGCTCACTGCAAGCCTGAAAAAGAGCCATGATTTTAGTCTAGTAGCCAAAAGACTACTGGATTTAGTAATTATGGAAGTAAAACCAGGAACTGGCATCTATTTCAGCATGTTAATGCAAGCACTACCACAGGCTTCCTTAGCTTAGGCAAGACTGAGGTGAAATATTTTTAAAAACTAGAAACCAAGGTAATCCAAGTCTGCAAACAAAGAGACAACTGCCTGGCACTTGTTCCTAGTGAGATCAGGGAAGTGATTCAGGACTCTCCACAGCATGATCTCTGGATCTCTGGAACTGGGAAAGGGTGAGCTGGCAAAGAACACTTAACATCCCACAGAAAGCCACAGCCTGGAAAGGTGGACAGAATTTACACATTGGTTTTGTTTGTCTTTCCCTGTTGAAGTCCAGCCTCTTTATCTACTGCCACATCCAACTGTACAAACATCAGACAAAGGGAAACTCCAGCTAATGGATTTTGAAACCATTTTTCCAGTGGAATACAGAACACTTAGTACTATTATATATGGAAAAATCTGGTAGAGAGCAATTCTAGCTCTCCACTGGAATGAAGTATACAATGGAATAAAGCATCTAAATTCTACTACTTAAGCTCTTCTCTGTACTGAATATGGGACAGAACAAAAGGGCATCTATCCCTGGGAAAAATAAAAATGTCTTGTTTGAGACTATATTCAAATAACTACTCTTTAAATTATTTAAAAATATAAAACACTGAAGGAAAAGTAAATAACCTAAAAGAAGGCAAGTCAGTCAAAGGGCCAGCAGACAGCAGTTTAGTTTTTCTTTGTAAGATTTAACAGACAGAACAAATTGGATTGGTGGACAAATTAATGGGGCACAGCTCTAAATTTAAGCTACACACAGAGGCAGCAATGATACCTAGTTAAAATCCTCAGTCACAGTGCAGCATATTTCAGTGCATCTGCAAGCCAGGAGAAACACTTTAATGAGACTACTGCAGCTGACATCATCTATTAAATCAGGCCTACCCTTTTCCTCTGCAGATCCCAGGGTCTCTTTGAGCACCAGTGTATCAGCACAGGTAGCAGAAATCCTCTTGTCTGTGTAAGTCTTCTTCAGGCTGTCCTGAGAGCTGGCAGGCTCAGTGAACATGTCCTGTGTGGAGCTGGAGTCAGACAGCACCGCTCCCGTGCTGTCCTGGCTCCTCTCTGCAAAGAGATAAGGAAGGAATGCATCTCCTCACAGCCCTCAAGCTGCTGCTTGTCTCTTGGAAACAGCAACACAAAACTCTGCAAACTCTTACAACTGCCACACAGGATCCCTTACCACCACCAAGAAAAGGTATTTCACTCTCATCACATTTCTTCCTAGAATATAATCCTGGAATTTCAAGCAATAAAGCTCAACTTTCAAGAGCAGTTAGACTGGGAACAATATTTCAGGCAGTATGGCCCTGGAAAATCTCCCAGGTTTACTGGACCCAGTATAATTTTGAACCTGACACAAGCAAAGTTCAATTGACAAGAGAAAACCATGAAGAACAATACTGGTAAAAATTACTCGTGAAAGAAAGAAAAATCAGTAAAATTAGAGGGCAAAGACTTACAGGGGTGATCTCTGATGCCAACTATCCTGCAGGTGTAAGATGCTATTCAACAAACACTGAAAGGTGATTGGAAATGGCAAATAACACATCAAAGGCCTAACACAGACAGGGAACTGGGCCTCAAGGCAGCCACAGAAGGGAAGGGGAAGTGACTTTACCTTGAGGGAGTGGAGCAGGGGCTGCTGACTGCAGCACAGTCACAAGGAAGCTGTCAATGTGCACAGGAACAGGCATTGTGACTCCATCAGGGGATTAAACCTCAAACAGGCAGGTGAAAACCTCCCACTCATGTCTGAAACCTGCCAGGTTTAACCCAAGGGTTATCAGAGGCAACCCTGCATGACTACAGAACACAGCTGAGTGTCTTTGACAGAGAGAGGCCTGCACATTCCCACTGAGATGGGGAACTGGCATTTTTCCATATTGTGCCAACGTAATTCAGTGTTCAATATAAAATTCCTGTATGGGCAATTCCTTTATATCTGGAGTCCACAAGAATTATTTCCAGTTTCTTCTTAAGATACTGATACTTGATTCTGTCCAATTTCTTCTTAAGATACTGATGCTTGATTCTGTGATCTAGTTAAAGGTGTCCCTGCTCATTGCAGATGATCTTTAAAGGTCCATCCCAACCCAAACCATTTTATAATTCTGTACAGAAATGGCATAACCAGGAGGGGGTTATATCCATTGTCTAGGCAGTTCCCCTGCATTCTGATTCATTAATTTTATTGATAAGATCAAGAAAGAAAATTAACAAAGCAAAAGCCCTTGCTTTGAGATGAGCGGATAATTTAATTAAATTTCTTCTGTTCCATCTGAATTGCACTTGTTCAGGAGAGAGCTAAGGGCCTCCTATGAATTTATTTTATCAAGATAAATCCCTCTGCAAACCTTCAGCTTGCAGATCAGGTTCTGCTTATTAGGATTCCAATGAATTTAAACCAAATTTGATGCACTCTGTAGGTTTTTCACGACCACACAAAGAAAACCTTCCCTTTCACTGAGCAGATCTTAATAAAACTATCTTGGAAAAGAATGGGGGAACAGCATTTGCTTCCTAATTGGAAGCTATAGAAGCTGGTTAATGATGACAAGTTTTATACAGAAAGAATATAATTACAAAGAATGGGAAGAGAAGGATTCTGAAGAGAGGTCAGTCAAGCTTTAAATGACTCATTTATAAAGCTTTAATAACTTTCTGTGGTACAAATCAATACTATTGAACTCCCAGTTGACATCAGGGAAATCATTTACAGTAGCTCCCTTGGTATTTTTTTTTTAAAGAAGTTTCTGTATCTGTGGCAAAGAGGCTGAATTACTCATCTAGGGGGAAAAAAATGGCAAATTTCCAGATGTTGCCACAAGCCTGCAGGTCAGTTCTGATGTGTGGGTTATGACAGATGAAGCATCAGAATGTAAATCAAGAAATGCCAGAGCAATATGCCTGGGTGAGATCAGACACTGGGAAATTACAATGGTTTTTCATCATGCAAAGATAGACAATGATTCAACACATTAAATTTAAAATATATGCATGAGCTTTTCCTTATGGGAACAAATGTAAACACCTCCTTCCAATTAGCCAGCTAATTTAATTTGAAATTTCTGCTTAAATGAGTGTGGGTCTAGGTAGGGATGTTTATTCTCCTTTTCTTTCAATATATTAACCCTGTTTAAAAAATGATATTTAATCATTTCCAGTTCCCTAATCACTGGAAACCAGAGGAAGGTGACTATTGAGACAACTTTCTATTATATTAGATATTCCTTGGATGCAGCAGATACTTTCAAACTAAGTGAGCCAGATGGAAAACCCTGGAGTATTCCAGAAATTAGCAGCAGCCACCAATTATTAGCATTAATTTCTCAGAAATCACAGAGGATGGGCAAAGTCCCAGGGAATGTAAAACAAAGTGCAGTGCTTATCTTCACAAAGGATGAAAGGTCAAAGCTGGGAGCCAGCCTGCCTTCATCTCCCACAGAATTATTTCAGCATCAATAAAGAAATCCTTCTCTAAGCACCTAAAAGGTAACAGGATCAGGAGTGGGAAATGTGTGAGTGGATCCCAGCACACACATTCCACAAATGTGAATTTGTGATGAATTTGTGAAGAATTTGTGATTCTCAAACCAAAACTGGCCTAAATGTCAGGCTACCCTACACACACCTCAGCAAAGCAGCATTCTTGAATGTGCAATCAGTAACTCCACAGAAAAAATATGTAAGAGCCTTCCTGTTCTACTGAGCACTAATGAAAATTGAACTTAATTACGGTGTCTGTATTTGGGACCCACATTTTAAAAAAGACACTGAAATAGGGAAATATTAATTCAGAGGAGAGGATAAAAATGAGAGATTAATGAGATGACATATGAAAATTACCAGGAGAATTGGACTTATCTCAAAAAAGATGAGGTAGAATTTCCAAATACATATGATTAACCAAAATAAAAATACAATAATTGCTGTTCATATTCATTAGGTACAGTGCAAAAGGCAATGGGTTTTAATTGCAGCAAGAAAATTGACTTTTTTTTGCCATCACCTCTACCTTAACTGCTACATACAGTTAGAAAATAGCACAGTGAACCAACCTACAGTCACTGTGGGCTTTCAGAGCCAGGCAGACAAACAGCCAGCATTTGTTAGGTTACCCAAGATATTCCTTAATATAATAAAAAGCTCTGTCAATACCTAAATATTGCAGTATGCAATGCAGAACTTGTGGCAACTGCACCAATTCACATCCTAACTCTGGTTTTCTAAAAATAAAAATAAAATGCATATTTTGTATACAGGGAGTACTATTCTCTTCTAGCCTAGCTGCCAAATACAGCTTTTTTAAATAAATATAAATCTGCTAGATTTCAGTTTTTAAAATATTTTATATTTTTATATATATTTTACCTATTTTTAGTCTCCCCATAAAACATACAATATATTAAAATATAACACATAAAATATATTTGATATATTTATATATTTTTATATTTCAGTTTTTAAAATATTTTATATTTTTATATATATTTTTTACCTATTTTTAGTCTCCCCATAAAATATACAATATATTAAAACATAACACATAAAATATATTTGATATATTTGATATATTTATATATTTTTATATTTCAGTTTTTAAAATATTTTATATTTATATATATTTTACCTATTTTTAGTCTCCCCATAAAATATATAATATATCAAAATATAACACATAAAATATATTTGATATATTTATATATTTTAATTTTAAAAATACTTTATATTTTTATATATTGTTTACCTATTTTCTTAGTCTCCTCATAAAATAAGCATATAATATATAAAAATATAATATATAAAATATATTTCATATATTTATATATTTTTTCTATTTCAATTTTAAAATATCTTCTATTTTTATATTTTGTTTACCTACTTTCTTAGTTTCCCCATAAAATATAAATATATTATATACAAAATATAATATAGATACATTTATATTTTAATACTTTTATATATTTTTATACTTCAATTAATTTTTTTTTGTTTACCTATTTTCTTAGTTTCCCAATAGCAATAAGACAAGCTTTTCCAAAAAGCTGAGCTGGTCTCTTGTTGTAAGAGTTTGATAAATCAAGGACTAAATATTCTTTTGAGGTCCCTCCCTGTAAAGTTTCCTATTACTTCAAAAGCTAAGATAAAAATACAGCTGGGTATTAATGTCCCAAAATTATTATCTGTAGCAGAAATGAAGAGCCTAGGGAGAAAGTTCTACTAAATTGTGCATAAGTAACTGCAACTACATTCCTATGAAAAATATGATCTGATAGTAGATGTTTCTCCTGGCTATTATTATATTTTGTTTCATTACTTCATTGCATCATTCCTAAGTTTTAGGAAGATTTCAAACAACTGGATGAGCTGAAATCTCAATTTGATGTAAAGTTAAATATTTCATGTTTATCTCTAAAAAATTCAGAAAATGGCACTTGAAAGCAAGAAGCAAGGTTTTTTTTACCTCATTTCTCATAATGTCCTCAACTTGTGACATTTCATTTCACATCTATGTCACATTACATCCCCTACTCTGTCACAAGGTGAAAAAGAGCAGCTTTGGACAGGAGATTTAAAAAGGTCAAAAGAAGAATCTTGTTAACTTTCAAAGACATTAGTAAAAAATACTAATTACTATCAGAAGGATGTCATTGGGAAGAAAGAACTTGTATATTCATCTGTACTGCCAGGACCTTCATTGCATCACACTGAGGTCCTGTCAGGCACAGGGATGATTAAATCACTGCCATTCCTGAGCCACATCTGTCACAGATGTTAGAAAAAATATCTGAAGTCTGTTTGCCTTAATTCCATGCTTAAGAGCATTTCAACATTAATCTTATCCTGAATGAAATGGGTTTACTGGCTTGACTTCAAAAATCCCTTTTCCCACTATTGCTCCACAAGCAGACACAGGCAGCAGCATGTCACTGTCACTGTCACTGTCACTGTCACTGTCACAGCTCCCTGCAGGCCAGCCCACCGCCAGGACAGAGCTGTGGCACACTCTGGAGAGCAGAAATGGCCTTAAAATGGTTTCAGTTTAAAATGCAGCATTGAAC